GCCGCCGCCGCCTCCGCACCGCGGATCCGGTTGCTGCGGGGCCCGCACCCCTCGCGGCGGGCGGCTTGTATTTATTATTAATTATTAATTATTATTAATTATTATTATTACACGGTTCACGCAGTTTTTAGGCATCTCCGTTAGGGTTTTCTAATTTTATTTTAAAAGGCACAAACTATAGCTCTTAGTTGAATGTTGACAGGTATGCTTTCTCTTTTTCCGTGTCTTTCTACAACTGTGTTCTGTGACTCAACTGTATAGTGTTAATATCAGTACAGACTTGTCTAGTTGACCGTATAAATAATGTTTTCCCTTCTCGTAGTCTCTATGGCGTGTCTTTATGGAGAAATAAGGTTCTCACGGGTTCGGTTCCCTTTGCGTTTAGAGAGACCAGGTTCAGGCAATGATATCTATTTTTGTTATCGGTTGCATGTTGTCTCATTTTTCTTTTTCCCTACCTGTTGGAATATGTTTGTGAGCATAATCGTCATAAATTATGTTCAGGGTTTTCAGATTTATTTATATGTGGTTAAAATGAATGCTTCTATTTAAAAGGGGAAATATTTCTACATGTGCATATAGTTTTCCAAGAGTGTACCATTAATTGATTGTTGATAATAAAACCCAAAAGCAAATATAGCACCGTAGCTTTTCTGACTTCTTGTTAGGGCTTTATTCGGGGGGAGGGCTCGGGGTTTTTTTTTCTGACAAAGATTGAAGGGCGCACATCGCAGAATCTGCACTGAGTCATCAAAAGGCGATGGGCTCGGCAGCATTATTTTTAATCTGCGTTACCATCAGGAAGACCGTAGCTGCGGGTCCCGTCATTACTGCCTAATTGTGCCGTTATTAATTATTTGCAAACAGGCTGATGGGGGGGGGGGGCGGAAGATGCGTCAGATCTGACCTTCTGTCGCTACCTCGAAAACTGGAGATGGCCAATATTAAGCGATATCCGTTCAAAGGAAAAAAAGGGGGGGGGGGGCATAAACTACAGGTCTGGTTTGCAGCAGACGAAGCGTCCTGCAGGCCGGCTGGAAGCCGTCGCCAGCCATGACACCACCAGGCGGAAGGTAAAATTGGCTTTCCAGCTCGGCAGCTTCTCGGAAGCGGTTCTTCTGCTCAGACCCCTGCTTACACCGAGCGCAGGGAGAGGCGCCGTCCGCGGGGACCACGGCGGCCGCCGGCTCGGTTCCCCCCGGGGCCGGGAGTCGTCCAGCGGCCTCACGCCTGGGCACCCGCTTTGCTTTCACCACCCGGCAGCGGGAGGCGGCGGCCGCGGTAGCGCCCGGCCCGGCCC